CCCTTTTCCTTTTTTCCCTTAAACTTGCCCCTTGTTCGGGAATTTAAAAATCCTTTTTTGCCATTGAAATTTTTCCAGTTTTGATGCACTGTCCCCCCATTTTGTCCTCCTTTTTTGCGGTTTGTTTTTCCCCCCTTCAACTTCACCTTCTTTTTGGGGCAAACCGCCCCCCAGTTTCTTTCCTTCTTTTTTTCCAATGTCCGTTCCCAATATGGGCCTAACAAAACCGGTGTAAGGGTCCTGAATGATCCTTATTAGATGTGGGAAATGCTGTTCTGGGTTTGCTAGGCGCCCAATGCTGCAGCGTTATTTGGTTGATGTGCGCTTCAGGGATGTCCCTGGTGTTATACTCACCCAAAAATCTTTTTCCTTGAGTGAGGTTTGTAGTCTCTGACCCCTAGACTGTACTCCGTCTGCGGCCTTCTTTGCCCTTCCCCAATCTTCATGACTTTGCACTTGGTGGGATTGAACTCAGGAGCCAATTGCTGGACCAGGTCTGCAGCCTGTCCGATCCCTTTGTAGTTCTGCCTGGTCTTCGATCGAGTGAATTCTTCTCATCAACTTCACGTCATCTGCAAACAGGGACACTCAGAGTCTATTCCTTCCGTCATGTCGTTCACAAATACCAGAAACAGCACTGGTCTAGGACGACCCTGTGGGACCCCGCTGGTCACAGGTGCCCACTCTGACACCTGCACGTAACATGACTCGCTGCTGTCTTCCTGACAAGTAATTCCCTGATCCATTGTAGTGCCTTCCCTGTTATCCTGCTTGGTCCTCCAGTTTTTGCACTAATCTTTGTGGGAACTGTGTTCAAACGCCTTCTTGCAGTCCAGAAAATGCAATCACCCCCCCTCTCTCTCTTGTTCTTACTGCTGTCACCATGTCATAGACTCCAGTAGGTTTGTGACACAGGATTTCCGTCCCTGAAACCATGTTGGCTGCTGTTGATGAGATCATTCCTTTCTAGGTGTTCCACCACTCTTCTCCTGATAATCTCTCCATGATTTTGCATACTATACATGTCAGTGACACTGGTCTGTAGTTTAATGCTTCATGTCTGTCTCCTTTTTTAAAGATTGGGACTACATTTGCTGTCTTCCATGCCTCAGGCAATCTCCCTGTTTCGATGATGTATTGAATATTGTTGTTAGGGGTACACATAGCGCTCTGCTCCCTCTCTCAATACCCATGGGGAGATGTTATCTGGCCCCTTGCCTTTGAGGTATCTAGCTCACTCAGAAGCCTCTTCACTTCTTCTCGGTTGTGTGCACTGTGTCAGCACTTGGTGGTGTGCCCCACTCTCCGTCTTTCTGGAGCCCTTCTGTCTCTCTGTGTAACACTTCTTTGAATCTCTTGTTGAGTTCTTCAATACTTCCGGTCATTTCTTGTTGTTCTCCTCCTTCCTTCCTTAGCCTGATTACCTGCTCCTTGACTGTTGTTTTCCTCCTGATGTGGCTGTACACGTTTCGGGTCAGATTTGGCTTTCGCTGCTATGTCATTTTCATATTGTCTTTGGGCCTCCCTTCTTATCTGTGTATATTCGTTTCTGGCTCTAGACTGTTCTCCTTATTCTCCTGGGTCCTTGCCTTCTATATTTCTTCCATTCCCTAGCACACTTG